TAATACTTTTATGATGTATTTTAATGCGCTTTTATGGTTGCAAATTTATTGTTTTAATATAATAAACTCCATTGGAAATTTACCAATAGTTTGTTTATTTTTAGCTATGACTATGATGTCATTTTCTATTTAATTTTAAGGTTACAAATTAATTTCAGTTTTAAATATTATTGTAAAATGTTTGCCCAAAACATTTATTAATAAGTGGCCAAAAAAGGGGGCAAAAATAAGCATTTTTTTAGTTTCCAGACATTAACTTGTGTTCAAGTGTATGGATTTCTCTGAAATTGTACTTAAAGGTACCATACCACAAAGGGAAGTGGGTCAAAAAATTTTGGGGGGGGGATTTTTTTTCCTTTTTTTTTTCTTTAAAATTTTCCATTTTAAGTTGGTTAATTCTGATCACAAAGAGAAAGTTGGAATTGAGTTTGGGGGATAATTGCTCAAATGTTTAGGAATAAGGGGCTAAAAAAGGGGTTAAAAATAAGCATTTTTTTTTAGTTTCCAACAATTAATTGTGTTTAAGTAATTGGATCTCTGTGAAATTGTACTGCAAGGTACCATACCACAAACTGAAGGCTGGGATTGAGTTTGGGGGGGCGTGATGTGTGAAAATTTTCCACTTAAAGTTGGTTAATTATTTCTGATTTAGATATAAAAGCAAATAATAATGATGTGGTTTGATTTTATCAAAAACTTAAATTGAAGTTATGTATATTGTAAATTTAGGTTACATTGGAATTTAAGAATTGGCTTTGGGGTAGGGTTATGGCTCAAACCTTTAAATAATAAGGGAAAAAAAGGTGAAAAAATAAGGGTTTCCAGGTTAATAGACAAATAAGTACAAAACATTATTTAAAAGCAGTGTAAGGTTGGTAATTCAAACTCATTTAAATATCTCACTTACACTGCTTTTAAATTATGTAAATTGGAAATTTGCCAATAACTTTATTGTTAATAAATGCATTTGAAATTTGCCAACAATTTTAGTATAATAAACTTCATTGGAAATTTGCCAATATAAAATTTTGCTGATGAAGGTTTTTTGTTTACCTTTAGCCTTGACTATGAAGTCAATTTCTATTTTTATAGCCTTATGATGTAGTTGAATTATTTAATACTTTTATGATGTGTTTAAATGGGGTTTTATGGTTGCAAATTTATTGTTTTAGTTTAATAAACTCCATTTAAAATTTGGTAATAAAAAAAAATTTTGTTTATTTTTAGCTATGATTATGATGTCATTTTCTATTTTACTTTTATGGTTGCAAAGAAATTTTTATTTTTAGATATTACTGTTAAATGATGCTGATTAAGGTTTTTGCTATGTTTAGCCATGACTATGATGTCATTTTCTATTTTAATATCTGTCATGATGTATTTAAATGGGCTTTTATGGTTACAAAGGAATTTTATTTTTAGATATTACTGTAAAATGTTGCTGATTAAGGATTTTGTTTATTTTTAGCCATGACTATGATGTCATTTTCTATTTTAATACCTTTATTATGTAATTTCCATTTTTAGATATTACTGTTAAATGATGCTGATTGAGGGTTTGAATGCTGGGATTGATTTTGGGGGTAATTGCCTCCAAATTTTAGGAATTAGGGGGCAAAAAACAAGCATTTTTCTAGTTTCATGACAATAACTTGTGTGTAAGTGTATGGATCTTTATGACATTGTACTGCAAGGTTCCATATCACAAAGGGAAAGCTTGGTTTGAGTTTGGGGGTAATTGCCCTAAACTTTTAGGAATTTGGGGCCAAAAAGGTGCAAAAAACCCAAGCATTTTTCTAGTTTCCAGACAATAATTTGTGTTCAAGTGTATGGATCTCTCTGAAATTGTACTGCAAGGTACCATACCACAAAGGGAAGGCTGGGATTGAGTTTGGGGGTGATGAATCATAAGGGGGTTTCAAAAAATTTGCGGGGGGGGATTTTTTTTTCCTTTTTTTTCTTTAAAATTTTCCATTTTAAATTGGTTATTTCTGATTTATATATAAAAGCAAATAATAATGATATGGTTTGAATAGGTAAATTAAAAAATTTTAAGTTCTTAGACTACTTTCATTCTGTGTGAGAAACCTATGCTGTGTCAAATATTTAATTACAATCCAAATTCAGTGCTGTATCAAGATTGAATGTTGTGTCCATACTTGCCCCAACTGTTCAGGGTTCGACCTCTGCGGTCGTATCAAGCTGCGCCCCAGCAGAGCATTTTATTATTATTTGTTGTTGTATTGGTCTCATCTGTAGCTAACTCATGTGGGGATTTTTTTTACCTTAGGGTTCAGGCTATGAAGGCATTTCCATAAAGATTTTGAGTCATTAGAGTCTTTTATCATGTTTTTATAATTCTCTATTATTTGTTTAGTTTATTTCTCCAAAATCTATATTCACTCCACAATCCAAGTGCATTATATTTATGCTAGTTAAAATGAATATCTTCATGACTGGCTTCTCTAGAGTCTAGATGCAATACTAAAAATTTGATCTTAGATATATACTGGTTCAAAGGGATAGTTTAAAAGAGTTCAAAAAAATTATTATGTCTGAAGCTGTCAAACTGAATAATAAAACCTCTTAACATAAAATTATCTATATTTTTAGTTAGAGCTGGTAGACTTTTCTATAATTTTGATATAATTTGTCCCAAAAGTTGTACACTACACTGTAAAAAAATCTCATTGAGAAAGACCAGGAGTGATCTTTTAATATCCTTTATTGTCTAAAAGAAATGCATTACGAAATAACTGTGTTCTCTGCCCAGACACCAAATTTAATGTATTCAAAAAACAAACAAACAATTTGTCACCATTTAAGTACTATCTTTGTACTAATTTAGGTTATCTAATTTGTACTATGGTTGTTCAGTTCATACTTCTTGAAATTGAATATTGCTGTTTGTATTTGAAGCTCAGAGGTAAAGACATACAGTTAAGTACAACCTATTAGTTAGTATTGAAACATAACTTCATAATACACGTAATGCACTTTTTTCCTGTTCAATTTTTCCCCAACCTTCCAAGATTTTATTTAAATGATTGTTTTTAAATTTTTTTAAATTGCTTGTGATTTTGGATCTGCTAGCATATGTAAAAAATCAGCCTACTTTAAACTTTGTTAGTCAATTCTTTTCTTTAAAAAAAAATCAAATTGTTTTTCTATTTAATATCCAATGTTTAAGGGAGCTAACTCTCTTAGTCAGTGTTCCAGTTAGGATTTCAACAGGGCAGGGAGCCAATCATGAAAATGGCACTTTAGCAGTTGATTGATTATTCAAAATGGGCAATCGAACATTGTTTTTATGGCCCCGCAACAAAGTTGTCTGGGCCATATAGTTTTACCCTTGTCTATTATTCCGTGATTCTGTCATTCCGCAACAAACCATTATACAGACTTTTTTATGCCCCCGCCGAAGCGGAGGGGCATTAAGTTTTACCCTTAATGTCCTTCCGTACGTCCTAAAATTGGTTTCCGTTCTCTAACTTAAGTTTGACTCAACAATATGTTATCAAACTTGTACACAATGTTTATTACCACAAAACACAGATCAAGTTTGAATTTTGGTGGCGTCACTTTAACCGTTCTAGAGTTATGCCCTTTATAAATGGAAAAATTGCTGAATTTTTCGTTTCCATTCTCTAACTTAAGGATGTACACCTCTGAGGAGCCAAAAATTTCTAGAATTAAACTTTTTTTCTTAACCTGATTTTTGGGTTTATATGACTGTAAAAAAATAATTGAAGAAAAAATCTTATGGTGGTGCACTTCTTTTTTTGTTACGGCCCTTTGAAAGTACCCAATTTTGATGATTTTCCCATTTTTCATAAATTTTTGCCTATTTTTGGGCTATTATCGTGAAAAAAATCACAGTTCCACAATTAAACTTTTATTCAAACTTTCAATAAAGATGCATTGGACCAATCTGAATAAATTTAACTAAAAAAAACTATAGGTAGGTGTTAATATAAGAATGTTTTATCGTATTTTGATGCTTTTTTGTGTCAAATTTACAGTGCTGTCAATTTCGTAAATTTGTGATTTTTCTCAGTTTTAAGAACAAAATGCATATTATTTCAACTTTTTTGTTATAAATGATTGAAAAAATACATACATATCTTAGAAATTTGAAAAGAAAAAAATGATATGGGATGTACATGATTCTGGTAAAATCATTTTTTGTACCCCTCACCCATTTTCTCAAAATTTTGGCTAAAAAGACTGACTTGATTGGTCGTAAAATTTGAAAAATTGATTACTCAAAAACTACTCATTGTAAATACACAATTTTTTCACAGAGTTAAGTTTAATTATAACATTTTTAAAATTCATTGATATTTTCCACTTGTATCACATGTTTTGGAAATAATTCCAGAACGAGATTTCAACGAGACTGAAACGTCAGAAGAATACATCCTTAAGTTAGCCTCAACCAAATGTTATGAAACTTATACACAATGCTCATTAACACAAAATACAGATCGATTTTGAATTTTGGTGGCGTCACTTTTACTGTTCTAGAGTTATGCCTCTTTACAAATGTAAAAATTGCTGAATTTTTCGTTTCTGTTCTGAGATCTAACTTAAGTTTGCCGCAACCAAATGTTATGAAACTTATACATAATACATATTACCACAAAACTCAGATCAACTACAAATTTGGGTAGCATCACTTCTACCGTTCTTCAGTTATGTCCTTTTATAAATTTATATGATATGCAAGTGGGGGCATCATCTGTGTCTATGTCCCCATTTATTTAAAACTAGGAATCACAGCATAAATGATATTGTAACGACTTTTTCACTGCATAATTATTATCCCTGTAAAAACGTTTAAATTGATATTTGGAATTCATTTATAAAAAGGCACAGGGAATCATAAAAATGGCACAGGGCGTCATTCGCGAAAGGGCGGGCGAATGCCCCGTGAAAATGATCAAGCTGGAACACTGTTGGTATACTATATAGTATAAATACATCATTTCTAATTACAGATCATTGGACGGTCGATTACAAGTGTCTCATCGTAAAGGCTTACCACATGTAATATATTGTCGTTTATGGCGATGGCCTGATCTGCAGAATCATCAGGAGTTACGTGCAGTGGATGTATGTGAATATGCCTTCCATTTAAAGAAGGACGAAGTGTGTGTTAATCCATATCATTACACACGTGTAGAAGCTCCAGGTAATTACACATATCATTACACACGTGTAGAAGCTCCAGGTAATTACACATATCAGTACACACGTGTAGAAGCTCCAGGTAATTACACATATCATTACACACGTGTAGAAGCTCCAGGTAATTACACATATCAGTACACACGTGTAGAAGCTCCAGGTATTTACATACTGATACATATCTGAGAAAAAAAACATTTAGTGTTATAATACTTCGTCAAAATGGCAGATTTTGATTGGTTAATACGAGGTAGATAATTTACTCTATCCCATGGCAAATACTCTATTACCCTTCTCGGAGACGCTTGATCAATTGTGCGCTTTATTAAATATGGATGGTTGTTATGTACAAGACGTCATGCTTACATGTTTAACCCCACCACATTCTGTATGTGCCTGTCCCAAGTCAGGAGCCTGTAATTCTTGCTGTATATATCATATTTGTATTTAGTTAATTGTTTTTCACATAAATGAGGCCGTTGGTTTTTCTTGTTTGAATTGTTTTACATTGATCATTTCAGCGACTTTTACAGCTGACTATGCTGTATGGGTTTTGCTCATTGTTGAAGGTCGTACGGTTATCTTTAGTTGTTAACTTCTATGTCATTTAGTCTATGGTGGAGAGTTGTCTCATTGGCAATTATACCACATCTTTTTATTTTTACATTTAAGTATTTTTATGAATTTCAGGATTTTGGAAAGAAATTTGATAGAAATGCATTCTTTAGATGAGTTGTACTGGAGTTGTACAAATATTCAAACTGGGAATTCTAATGAGGTTTGGAAGGAGGCAGTCATCTCTGAAGTAGTGAACTTCTATAGCTCATCAGAAATTTTATTTGTGATTTTGATAACTTTGATTTATCCAGCTTGATAAATTTATTTTTTCAAAGCCACAAATAGACTTATTCATTTCCTCCATTGAAGTAAGCAATTGAATAATTAGACTCATATTCAAAGCAGTGAAGACCCATAGTTCCATGTCTCATTAACAGACCAGATTTTACCTGTTGCCTTTCATTATTTTTTCCAGTCCTGCCACCAGTATTGGTTCCACGTCACAATGATATACCGGACAACTTACCACAACTAGAAAACTATGCCATGACAGTGCCTGAAAATACAGACTTTCCAAGTGGTAACAGTGAAGTCTTTAATATACCTGGTAAGTTCACATCTTCTATATTACTACAGAAAAATAATAGCTAGTTCAGTTAAATATTACCCAAAGATATATAATTTTTGAACATCCATTCAACATTTAATTCATGAAGACTACCTAACTTAACCTGTAAAATTGTGAAATGAATATCCTGTATGGAACCCCGCTGTAGAAATGTAATGGACATTTTCTCTAATGAATAGATCTGTATTGACCTGATTGCAATGGTCAAGCTCAGTATGGTCACTTATTTATACAGAACTCTATTTCAAGTTTTATCCTGTATGGAACCCCACTATGTATATATAGATCTCTATTGGAAATTTTCTCTAAGGAATAAATCTGTGTTAACCAGATTACAATTGTCCAGAAATGTATGGTCAGTAGAAGTAGGACAATCGATTGTCCTGACTGACCTCTAACTTGATGAGGTTATGTTATCTGTCCATATATATCTCAAGATGGAAGATGGGAAAAAACAGTTATAGTGTCCACCCACAAGTCTAGTAGTAATCTGTAATATTTATAGTAATAAAATATAATTTTTGTGGGAGAGATGAAATACCAATAGGTTTAACTGATATATTGACAGATACTCAATAAATATTCTGGCATTGATTGGTATTTTTTTTTGTCTTCAGGATCAGATGTGCTTATGTACATAAAAAATCTGTTGTACTTTTGTATAATAAAGAAAAGTACATCTGTACGAGAGAAAATCATAGACGTCTGTGTATGTAAAAAATCATAGGCACCTGTGTATGTAAAAAGGCTTATTTTCACTGAACTAGAACACATTTTTGTTTAGGGGCCAGCTGAAGTCAGCCTCTGGGTACGGGATTTTCTCGCTGTGTTGAAGACCCATTGATGGCCTTTGGCTGTTTTCTGTTCTTTGGTCGCGCTGTTGTCTCTTAGACAGAAATTAAGGTTTACATGTGTATTTAAAATAGCAAATCATTTTAGCAAGTTAATAAACAGATACAAAAGGGTATAGGTAACAGTATATGATAATTGATATGCAGTTGTAATAGTATTGGCACATTTCATTTCCATGGAGATTATTTGGCTCCGCCCCCTCAGTCATGGTCTATTGACTTTGTATATTTTACAAATAGTTTACATGTTAAAGTTTGTGATTAGATCAATTTAAGATGAACCACTTATGTTAAGTCAATGTTATTTGGTATGCAGTTGTATTAGCATTTGCTAGTCACATTTCCATGGAGATTATATGGCCTTGCCCCCCTCATCATGGTTCATTGACTTTGAATCATTTGTAAATTTACAAGTTAAAATATGTGTTATAGGTTCGTTTAAAGGGAACCACTTATAACTTATAAAATGGAGATTATTTGGCCCTGCACCTTCAGTCATGGTTCATTGACTTTTAATATTTTGCATTTTTTACATGTTTAAAATAACCATTTTAATTAATTAATTTTGCATTATACTATAAAAGTTACAAAAAGGAGAGACATATCTCTGTGTTATTTAACCTTTTAGAATTTCTGAATGTCTTCAGTATCTTGAAAACTACAATAGTAATAGAGAGAAACAGCATAAACAATACAATTTAGATCACAAAACATTTCATTGGTAGTTAATATATTGACAACTGCTTAAGGAGGTGCAGAACACCTAAGGGAGCTAACTCTTTAGAAATCTGCTGAACGTTTTAATCACATACTATTACAAATGTAGTAAAGAGTAATCAAGCATCTCAATGATCAAAATTAGTGTTTGTCAAACTGCTACATATCAAATGAAATTATTCCTGTAAACTGTATGGTTAAAATTTATTAAAATTTTTATATTTTTGTCAACAGGTCAAAGTAAATATTAAGTTAAAGTTTTATACAAATTAACAAGCAAAATCTATTTTAATCAAAGTGTTGGTACCCCCTTAAGGGAGGGAAAAGAATATTTTGTGAATATTTATTCAACCTGACTTACGGAAAGATCAATATCTTATAAACTTGACAGATGAGCCAATCATGTTTCTTGGAGCCTCAAGTTTCTTTTCTTATTAGAAAATGTGACTTTGTCCTTTAAAAAAACGTGACATATGTTTTCCTTTGACGAGAGTCAATCAAATTTATCATGAAAACTTCTTGTCTTATAAAGCTCCTATCTGACTATCTGACAGTTCCTTGCTTTAAATCATTTATACATAGCTTCATAAATTAACAGAGACAGTAAACAAATTAGATTGGCTTTTTTTCAATATCAAGATCTTTTGAATTTAGAAGATGTTTATGGGTGATTTGTCTATGAACTAGATTGAAACAATGGGTCATTTGACCGATGGATTAGTTGAAGGTCAGTGATGAAAGTAAACAAATCAGACTGGATTTTTTGATATCAAGATCTTTCACAATTAGTAGATGATTATGGATGATTTTGTATCTTGTTTTTGAACTGGTTTAAAAAAGAGGTGTCATCTTGACCATTGAAGTTGATGAAGTCTTAGTATTTTTTTCACAATTTATTTTTAATGTTGCCATCTTAAAAATCTCTCTCCTACCAAGAGTGTCAAATGTCAACATGACCATTTTCGAGTCACTGACCAATAGTCTAGAACACATAAAGTTGTAGATAGAAACAGTAAAAATGTAAGGAATATTGATGTACACTACAGCTCGTAGGGGTTTGGCTTTTTCCATTGATCCACCTTGGGGCATTGCCTGAAGGGTGTGTAGAGGTTTTACTTTTTCCATTGATCTAACTTGGGGCAGTGCCTGAAGGGTGTGTAGAGGTTTTGCTTTTTCCATCGATCCAACTTGGGGCAGTGCCTGAAAGGTGTGTAGAGGTTTTACTTTTTCCATCGATCTTACTTGGGGCAGTGCCTGAAGGGTGTGTAGAGGTTTTGCTTTTTCCATCGATCCAACTTGGGGCAGTGTCTGAAGAGTGTGTAGAGGTTTTGCTTTTTCCATTGATCCACCTTGGGGCAGTGCCTGAAGGGTGTGTAGAGGTTTTGCTATTTCCATTGATCCAACTTGGGGCAGTGCCTGAAGGGTGTGTAGAGGTTTTACTTTTTCCATCAATCTAACTTGGGGGCAGTGCCTGAAGGGTGTGTAGAGGTTTTGCTTTTTCCATCGATCCAACTTGGGGCAGTGCCTGAAGAGTGTGTAGAGGTTTTACTTTTTCCATCGATCCAACTTGGAGCAGAGCCTGTCAGAATGGGACATAGAATCGTAGGGGTTTTGCTTTTTCCTTCGATCCATCTTGGGGCAGTGCTTGAATGGGAGTTGGTAGGGGTTTGGCTTTTTCCGTTGACCCACCATGGGGCAGTGTCTGAATGGGTTGGTAAGGGTTTTGCTTTTTCCATGGATCCACCATGGGGCAGTGCCTGAATGGGTCGGTAAGGGTTTGGCTTTTTCCGTTGATCCACCATGGGGCAGTGCCTGAATGGGAGTCGGTAGGGGTTTGGCTTTTTTCATTGATACACCATGGGGCAGTGCTTGAATTGGTCGTTAGGGGTTTTGCTTTTTCCATGGATCCACCATGGGGCAGTACCTGAATGGATCGGTAGAAATGGTGAATACAAATAAAAACGTTATATCAATGGATTATATTTGTAGGTCTTTTGATTGAACAAAAACTCCTAAAAGTTGTTCCAAATCTGGCTAAGATCTCCTCTATATCTGGAGGTAGAAAAACTAAAGTGTTTTGAATGATTTCAGTCTCTTATGTAAAGAAAATTAAAAAAAGATGTTTTATGTCAGCACAATAGGGTAGGAAGCTTCCTCCAGTAGTGGCATCAATCTAGTGTGATCACTGGGCAAGAAACTTCCTCCACTAATGGCATCAATCTAGTGTGATCACTGGGCAAGACACTTCCTGCAGTAGTGGCATCAATCTACTGTGATTACTGGGCAAGAAACTTACTCCAATAGTGGCATCAATCTAGTGTAATCACCGGGTAGGAAGCTTCCTCCAGTAGTGGCATCAATCTAGTGTGATCACTTGGCAAGAAACTTACTCCACTAGTGGCATCAATCAGTGTGATCACCGGGTAGGAAGCTTCCTCCAGTAGTGGCATCAATCTAGTGTGATCACTGGGCAAGAAACTTCCTCCACTAGTGGCATCAATCTAGTGTGATCACTGGACAGGAAACTTTCTCCAGTAGTGGCATCAATCTAGTGTGATCACTTGGCAAGAAACTTCCTCCAGTATAGGTAGTGGCATCAATCTAGTGTGATCACTGGGCAAGAAACTTCCTCCAGTATAGGTAGTGGCATCAATCTAGTGTGATCACTGGGCAAGAAACTTCCTCCAGTAGTGGCATCAATCTAGTGTGATCACTGGGCAAGAAACATCCTCCACTAGTGTCATCAATCTAGTATGATCACTGGGCAAGAAACTTCCTCCACTAGTGGCATCAATCTAGTATGATCACTGGACAGGAAACTTTCTCCAGTAGTGGCATCAATCTAGTGTGATCACTGGGCAAGAAACTTCCTCCAGTAGTGGCATCAATCTAGTATGATCACTGGGCAAAAAACTTTCTCCAGTAGTGGCATCAATCTAGTGTGATCACTGGGCAAGAAACTTCCTCCACTAGTTGCATCAATCTAGTGTGATCACTGGACAGGAAACTTCCTCCAGTAGTGGCATCAATCTAGTGTGATCACTGGGCAAGAAACCTCCTCCACTAGTTGCATCCATCCAGTGTGACCACTTGACAAGAAACTTCTTCCAATACTAGATTCAATCCAGTGGTTGTCAGGTTGTAGATTTTGTATTAAAGCTAAATATTAATACATAAGAAAATTGACCCAAAATATTAGGCAGTAAAATAAATCACACTAATCACCAACATCTAAATCTTCCATAAAGTTGATGTCCAAACAAAGAGTTCAATGATCAAAGCATGGTCCAAATAGCCAGAATTGGTTAAGGAGCAAAACGTTAAAACCAGTGTTTATGAGAAGTTAGTTACTAATCCAGTATTTCAATGTTTGAAATGAATTGTTTTTTGTTTTCTCATTTAACAGGAATT